AAAATAATAATAATAAATCAATAAATCAATAGGAAATATTGGAATTTTCATAAGCTTTAAAAGAAATTTACTGACAACTGATTTTTTTAAATCACATATGAAAGGCAGGTGAAAACTGTACAGTTATAACAAAACATGAAAAAAAAATAGTTTAGTCATTTAAAGAGCCTAGAGTCCTGATGAATAATAGTGGTTGCTCTTGATAAGGTTATCTATCAGTGTGGTCAACTGTATCACATATAGATATGAGAAAGTATTTATGAGCTTTACTTTGGAGATATTTTGTTTCCATATCCTGAAACTTACTGAGTTCAAGTAAAAAAAAAAATGTTGTTAAGAAAGTTTTGGTTTAATGCTTGCTGATAAATATGAGTGTTTCTTTTTGTTCTGTTTTTCCTCTTTGTTCTACACACACACACACACACACACACACACACACACACACACACTAGTTTTAGAACTGGAATTACCTGGTCCAAGGCAACAAAATATTTTTCAAACTTTTGATGAGATTTTATTTTGCATATGGAAAAATGAGCTATATTCTCAAATGAGCACAAAGAGAATTTCAACCAAGTAACTCAAGGTTGGAACAATTCTGTGTATATAAAAGATCTACATGAAGCAGAACTAACTGTGATGTGTTTCTGTTTTAAAGCTTCAGGAGAGATGCATTTGCCTTTTGAGAAGATCAACATTTTCTAAGAAAGCCTGGTCACCTGCTCTGCCTGATCCCCATGCTGTGACTTTTTCCATGTTCTAGGTGGGGATTGCAGTTCTCATCTTTATAATCTTAAAAGTCTGAGATGTATTATTATAGAATAGTTGTGTTTGGGGGAGCAAACTTCTTTATTCAGGGAAAGCCAGTTCACTTGAAAGTTGTCTAACAAGCTTGAAATATACCATGGGAACTCAGATGGTGTCTTAGTAATGAAGGTATGTTGAGTCATGTTCTTGTCAATTAAACTATAATATTAAATCTAGTTGGCCAAAATGTCTTCTGACCTACAAAGCTTCAGGCAGGCTTTCCCCGCCTTTTCCTCACACCTTTCCTGTTTATAGCTCCTGAACTGGGTGCTCCATTCACAAAATCTTCTACCTACACAGGATGGAATCTGATTAGTCTTTTGCTTCTACAGTCATGTTAGCCCCTCAAAATTACTACTTTGTATTATTTGCTGAGTGCTTGAATATTCCTAAACTCTAGGTATACATTTACAGAGGATATCATATTTTGCCCCAGAAATTCGAAAATGTCTATGGATTGCCAGTATAACTATTAAGAAAGGAGAGGAAGGAACTATCTTTAAAAAGTTACATAAAATACATTTCTAGGAAGTGGTTTAGCCTATCTTTCCTAAAAGGCCATCTTAATAGATTTAATACTATGTCATAAAAACTTTACTTTTAAATGTCCATTTATTTACTTTGAAATGGGATCTATGTCCCACAGGCCAGTTGAGAACTCATGGGCCATCCACGTAGCTGAGAGTGGAGACTGTGGCACTGAGCTTGCCTCATGTATGTAACTTACATTGGTATTATGACAATATTCAAGTTTTATTTCAAAATTTGAAGCAAATATATTAAAAGATTAAAAATAATGAATAACTGACTTAATAAACACAAAATTTATTTGGTTAATAAATGCTATTAATTTTCAGAATAATCTAGCACAATTCCTAGCTACAGAAGTTAACAGTCATTTTCTCTACTGAGAAGATTCAGAAAAGCTGCTTTTACACATTCGGAACATTTATTTTTTGCCCTACTTTAGTTTTCTCTCCAGAAGTGGAGTGAGGTGGAATGATTCGGTCATTATTAAGTAACAGCACAAATTCATGAAAGAAGATATACCATGAAGTGCTCAAAGGGAAGAAGCTTATTCAGTTTCCACTAGTATGATTTTTTTTTAAATCAAATCATTATGACACAATAATTTCATTTTCAAATGCAAGGAATTTTCACATAATTTCTTACAAAAGAATATGAAAACGAAAATTTGAAGTTGCCAAAGACATCTTATTTCAAAAGAGGAAATGCTGCATAAAAAAGCAGAAGTTTTCTACTTAGCATTAGAGAGCAGTTCTTCTAAAGCAGGATCCCACCGCACCTGCCCAAAGGATACAAAAGGCAGAGTAATGCCTTGTACTGACTTGGGTGCTTAATTTGCTAACATTACTCATTGTTTCCTTGCTGTGGGGCCGGGAGTTACCATTCTGATTGTACAGACCAGCAAAATGGAGAGCAGGGGACTGAGAGTATGTGGAGTTCACAAGACAAACCACAAAAACCTGAAAGACTACTTTCCTGACTCTTGACACCAGCAATCTTTCCACAGTCTCAGATGGTCTTAGCCCAGTGTGGTCCACACACAGAGTTTGAAGAAAAACCCAAACAACCCTTGTGAGAATGGTCATTTACTGTGCAACAAGAAATAATAAAGTAATATAAAGAAAACACAATGCAGACGGAGAATAAAATGAAACCCAATTAATATCAAAAGACAGCATTCCTGGAAGGGGACAACGATGAGGAAATATGCCAAATGATAAGAAAAACAAAATGGGGGCTGGAGAGGTGGCTCAGCGGTTAAAAGCACTGACTGAGCTTGCCAAGGACCCAGGTTCGAATCCCAGCACCCACATGGCAGCTAACAACTGTCCATAACTCCAGTTCCAGGGGATCTGACAGCCTCTTCTGTCCTCCGTGGGCATTGCACGACACGGGTGCACTTACTTACATGCAGTCATAGGACTCATACATATAAAATAAAAATAATAATTAAAAAAAAGACCAAAAATTAAAATAAAACAAAACATTAAAACTTTCTAACTAAATAAACATTAGCTACCTGAACAACTACTTTAACATCATCATTAAAGGTAGGCCACTGCCAGGCATGGTAGCTCATGTCCACAATCACAGCACTGGGAGGCTCAGAGAGAAGGACTGCAAATTCAAAGCCATCATAGGCCTGTGGTAAATTCCAGGAAAGTCTGGGCTACAAAGTCTTATGTCAAAAAGTACTTAATTAATTAATTTTTAAGAAGTATGTAACTAACATGTTATCACAACTATTTACTGTAAAAACAAGTGAAATTCATTCATTAAGTGTCCAGATAAAAATGCAAATAAAGGGAGAAAAAGTTGCTTTTGAAAGCCATAGTATTTTACCTGAACACTATTTACTTGGCAAAAATGTTTGATGGCTTCCAACAAAGGGGCTAACACCACAGCTTGGCCTTCAGAGACACCATCAATCTGTTTCACATTTTCAACAGTTGTTGGTCTGTCATAAAAAAATTTTTAAAAAGAATCATGAAGAAACCACTAAGCCGTATTACTTCAACACAAGCAACGTTCAGCTTCATACTGTATTCAATAATGACATATTTTTCTACAATCAAAAACAGTGCATTATACAACTGGTCATACTTCATAATTCATTTCTTTGCTTTGGCCCATTTAAAGGTTTGCTGTTTTAACAATTAATGAATAAAACTACTATTTACATAATAGGCTAATTCAATTTAATACGTTCAATATCCAAGTCTATGAACTATCTTCTTTCTAAAAATCTACTAATACAATGATTATTCTTTTTCCTTAAGTATCTTCTCTGAATACTATAGTCTTATTATTTTTACTGTTTTTTACATCAGCATACTGTACTGCACTCTTATTTTTTAACACAAAAAATATTCACTGTAAGAGATAAGGTACTATGTAGTATTAGAAAATCCTGCATTAAATCGAATGAGTGAGGGGCTGGAGAGATGCCTGTAATATGTTTTGATCAAACCTACCCCCTTTCCCTCCCCTCCACTTCCTTCCCTCCACTCCTACCACTTTTCCCTCCCAACGTCAAGTGCTCCTTTTTTAATCCACAGAATCCACCCAGTGCCACCTTCATGCGCACAGACGTAGGAGCATCTACTGGGCCTGGCGGCCTCTCAGGGCCTGCATCCTTGAGGAAAACTGTCCCTCCCCTGCAGCCATCAACTGTCAACAGCTCCCTAGCTAGAGCTAGGACTTCATGACACTCTGGGTTTACAGACACTGGATGTGATTTCTGAGAACAGCTGGTTTCACTCAGAGACATGTGGAACTAAAGCCCAGGCAAGAAATTAGCACAGAAGCATGGGAGATGCTTCACAGGTGTGACAACTGAAGACATGGTCTTACTAGTTTACAGATATTATCTGTAAAAAAAATCATACATTTTATAAGCCTATAATATCTGCGGAAATCAGAACAGAAACACTTCACCTCATTTTGGCCATATCCAGCAGTATCTTATTTGTTGCCAGGATAGCTGGAGGAACATCCATTTTATTGGCATGTTTCTGCCTAGCTTCTACCAATTTGGCATACAGCACAGTCTAAACGAGAAACAGAAAGAGCTCAACACTTTTAAAATGCATTTAGAAAAATTCAGCCTTTACTTTCTAAGCTTCAGGTATTACTGTTTTCCTCACAATGAAAAGAAACTGAACTCCGTCTAAAATTCTTAGCTACTGAACAATTTAAAAAATACTGGCAACAGAATTTTAAACATGCAAAGAATATTAACTATCCATTCATAAATTAATGACCTTTTTACCAAAGCCTTACCTGGGTCTCCTGCTCTTGGAATGAAATAATAGGTTCTGAGGAATCATAAGTTTTTCCTGGTGATTTCATCATGACACTAAGATATATAAAAGAAAATAAATAAGCTTTTCTTTTTTTCCATTTACTTTTTATTTTGCCCTCTAAATGAATATATCTTTCCAAATCAAATACTAACATTTATTCTTCACAAAACAAGTAAGGCAATTTGTATTTAAATGGCAACACCTTAGATTTTAAGCATTTTGGATCAGACACATTTATTATAATACTACAGTTAAAAGTACAACTTAGGGGGCTGGAGTGATGGCTCAGCAGTTAACAGCATTGGCTGCTCTTGCAGAGGACCCAGGTTCAATTCCCAGCACCCATATGGTGGCTAACAACTGTTTGAACTCCAGTTCCAGGGAAATCCAAAGCCTTCTGATCTCCACGAGCACTGCATGACATGGATACACTTATATACATGCAGGTAATACACTCATACACAAAAAATAAAAATAATAAATAAAATGTTTTAAAAGTGCAACTTAGCTGGGCGTGGTAGTGCACACCTTTAATCCTAGCACTCGGGAGGCAGAGGCAAGTGGATCTCTGTGAGCTCGAGGCCAGCCTGGTCTACATAGCGAGTTCCAGGACAGCTGGGGCTACAGGGAGACCCTGTTTCAAAAAGACAGCAGAAGACCCAAATTCAAATCCCAGCACCCACATGGCAGCTAACAACTGTCCATAACTCCAGTTCCAGGGGACCCGATGGCCTCTTCTGTCCTCCGAGGGCATTGCATGACACAGATGCACTTACCTACATGCAGGCAATACACGCATGCACATAAAATAAAATTTTTTTTTAAAAAAAAGGAGATCATCCTGGCCATCTTCTGTTCAATCGCAGGCTTTGAAACAAAAGGCTACTTATGCAAAGTGGAAAAAATGCTTTTCTAACCAACAGAATACAATCTGTGATTCCTGCTATGAAATCACTGATTCTTATAGTAGACAGCATTAGCAAAGAATTAATAAAAGTATTTACATTATTTTTCAAAATCAAACAAATATATGGCATAAGATACAATTTTGTTTTGGACTCTTCAAAAATGGGAGAAACTATATCAAATTATCCCAAATGGTATGAAACACTTAGGAGGTAAACTAGGCATCTTACAAGAGGCAGTTCTCACTGATAAACTGATTATAAATATAAGTAGTAATAAAGTGAAATTGTGTAAAACAGACTACATGAAAGATGTTAAATTTTAATTTCTGCTTGAAGATAAGGAAGTGGATATATTTGGTATTAAGAAATATTTAAGCCAGGCATGGTGTTACACATCTTTAATCCCAGCATGTGGGAGGCAGAGGCAGGAAGACCTCTTATGAGATCAAGGCCAGCCTGGTCTACATAGCAAGTTCCAGGTCAGCTGGGGCTAAGGCAAAACCCTGTCTCAAAAGAAACAAACAAAGAAATAAAAACTTATAAATTTCTATGTTCCAAGAATTTAGAAATTATCATCTGAAGAATTCATTTTCACAGTTATCAATTTTCTAAAATTCTTTTAAATGTTTCTTTAAATCCAAAGAATATTTTATAACATGTTGGGTTATATGAAATTTAAGTTTCAATGCCCATAAATAAAGTTTAGTAGGAATTCAGGCTCACTCACTCCTTCATAAATTACCTATGGCTGCACTGAGATACACAGCAAGGCTGAGCAGTGGCAATGCACCTTTTGACCCTCAACATCTAAAATATTTACTATCTGACCCTTTCAAAAAAACGCTGTCAACCAGTGTTCTAAATCAGAACTTGATCATGTCAGTGTTTTTCTTAAAACATTTTGCTTAGCTCCCAGTGTCTTCATATTGACTTGAGTTGCTTAAAGGAACCAGGTATTCTGGCCCCTATTTAATTCTCTAGGCTTCCGTCTCACTACTCCCTGCTCACGAGGTAATCTGTGGCCATTCTGCTGAGTTGCTCAGTAACATTACAGTTCTCTGGCTTTCAGGTTTTTTTGTTTGTGTATGTTCCTCTACTTGGAGGACTCTGTCTCACATCACTTGACTAACCCCTACCTTAAGCTTCAAGAAGTTCTGCTTTAAGGCTCTAGTATTTATCTACCCTTCAGGACTGTGGCTCTATGGCTCCTTCCCTGTACATCGCACTGGAATATTACGTCTGGAAGGGCTGGGACAACATCTGTAACATTCTTCACTGAACCCTAGAGTCTAAAATGGTACCTGTTGTACAAAGCAGCCAAATGAAACCACAGTAAATGTTTAAATGATGAAATCCTTCAGGATATTAAATGGATATTCCTTACCCTTTTATTTAAATAAAACATTAGTAATCACATACCACACAAACAAAAAGAAATTGTTTAGGGTAAGAAAATTATTTGTGATAAATATTTTGTCAGATCCAAAGTAGTGTTATCTAGGTCAGCAAAGCAAAGAAACTGCTGACTCTTCTTATAGGATATTTACTTTAACCTGACATGAACATGAACACCGTCCATTTAATCTGTGTAAATATAAGCCCTGACGCTCTATCGCCCTGTCCTCAGATAGGCTATTAGATTCTATACACTGCCTATACTTTCTTTAAGCCACCAAGTCACACAGTAAACTCAAAATTCTGAAAGGCTGGGTTGGCAGCTCAGTGGTAGTGCTTGTCTAGGTGGGCAAGGCCCTGGGTTTCATCTCCAACACAATAAAACAAGAAACAAAAGCACAATAGGTATGTTACCTTTACTCTCTCACAACTCTTACATTTTTCAATGTTCTCACCATAACCCTTTTGTTTGAAAATGGGATGGGAGCATTTATTTCCCACATGTATAAAAAATAGTGGTTAGATGCTATAAGTAGACAAATACAGATCTAAGCCGGCTATGTCATTAGCTATATGCTCTTGAACAAGTTAGTCAGTTAGCTTCCCAACCTTGGTATCTTTGACTGTAGAAGGAGGGAGTAAATAGCAGTTGCTAACTTCTGGCTTGTTATAAGAATTAGGTGATATGCGTGCTTAGCGTGTAACACAGATGCTGGACACAGGAGCACCCAGGGAGCGCTACTCCTAGCTGTGCGCTCTGTCTAGGCTGCTTTTGGTCCTTCTGGTACTGCAGGGTTATGCTTTAACTTTCCTTCCTTTGCAATGAAATGGCCCAACTTTGATAGCAATTTCTCTTCAGGAAAGAATGAAAAATAATACTGACAATGTAAGGAAATATAAAAAATCAAATATGGAACTCTGTACCTGTTACTCCCAGAAGAAAATTTCTCAGGTGCTTTGTAAGAATACATCCTTGCCAAATTAGACTGTTTTTGCACAAATAAAAGTCCATTAAAAATATGAAAACATTTAAATACAAAGAAAATAAGATATAAAATCTCACAATAACAATTATGCCTTTGACTAACTAGGTCTTCAAATAAAGTGAAAATTAGTTCTTGAGCAATCACCTTTTAAGCCTCTAAATGGTAGTTTAAAAAGATAGATGATACAAAAAATATCCAAAGACACAACAGCTAAAGTTAAAAAAGTGATTCAAATACATTTCACACACTTTAATAAAGCAGAAAAGGTATACTAGAAAACTCAACTCACTGTATTTGTCCATTCCCCATGTTCTAATTACTTAAAGTCCACTTTGGATAAATTTGTAATAGTTACTAAGATCCTAACAAAACAAGACAGTATATGCAGACCTGGCATGGTGGCACACGCCTTTAATCCATCCCAGCATTCAGGAGGCAGACGCACAGAGATCTCTGAGTTTGAGGTCAGCATGGTCTACATAGTGAGTTCCCGGCCAGCCAGGAGACTTTATCTCAAAAGCAACAAAAACAAAACACAGCAAAAATGTATATATATAAAGCATATGCACATTTGCACATGGGCATGGGGTAGGGGGTTAATGGAAATATTTAGAAATCAGACTTATTTATTAACTCTTAAGTATATATTAAAACTGTAAGGCAAATTATTTATAAAATAAGCTTAAAAGAATAAAAATAACTAAATACTTCCACTTCTGTATCAGTTCAAGAAATCATTTATCTCATATTTTTATTCTATTCATATAATTTTTCTTTCTGATTTATGATTTTTGTATGTGCCATTTTTCTAACTGGAAGGCAATGCAAATATAAGATTTTAAAACAGGAATTGCATCAATGAAGAATGAAATAAATAAGAACCACCTCTTGAAAACAAACCTTCTCTGAAGTTAATTCAGTTGGTATTCGATTAGAGGAATGCTGTGCAGTGTCTGAAGACACAGGGTTAGAACTGAAAAACAGTAAAATTAAATTACCTCTCAAGTTATGATCTAGTCATCCAATTCATGAATCACCACACACCCTACTCTCAGAAAATTAGAGATCTTATTATCTCTTTAAAACTGGTATTTAAAAAAAAAAAACTGATTTCCCAGAAAAGGAACTCTTAGCATTCATCTCAACACTGCTTAATCAGTAGGAAAGAAGCTAAATATTACAGCCTGATACCTCACATCAACTAGGACAGTGTTCCATAACTTATCCCTTTCCCAGGACTCCCTTCCACCAAACTGACAAAATCAAACAGAAAACTAATTTTACCTGTGTAGTGTCTATAAATTACTATAATTTGAATCATTTAAACAGCAACAAAAAAAGTTAATAAAAAAGACTAAACTAAAAAAAGAACCTTGGCTGAAGATCCTTCCTTGGAAGCATTTCTTCACTCGCTTGAAGGATAAGTCTTGGAGGAGACTGTGTACGGGCTTCATCAAGCCACTTTCTACCCTATCAAAAGCAAGAAGAATCTTAATGCACAGTGAGAAAAAATTAGTGTTGAACAGGCAGGGTTTTTTACTTTACCTGTTTTGTAAGGGAGCAAGTCTTTATAAATTTGTTTTGACAAGGAACTTCTACTAAGAATCCTTCAGTTATGAGACAATGGGAAAGGGCCTTCCACCAACTTTCTGCTCGATCCTTGCCTATACCAAAAAGCTTGTGACTGTGATATTTATCTCCAAGACGCTGAGAATTCTGAAATTAAAAATAAAGTTAAAGTCTAAAAGTGCTTACTCAATTAAACAGGCCAGGTAAAATACAAGTCTATTATTCCGTTCTTTGCATTTAAAAATAAATTTTACCTTTAAAACATCAAATTATTATGCTCATCCTTTTTGTTCTGAATACTCATGACAAGTAAATATGTAATCAAAATAGTGTTTTTAGTATTCTGTATCTTAAATACAGAAAAATTCACACATTATTCAGATGCATCTCCCAGTGTATGTATAGGTTTGGATTGTGTCTGAAATATTTCATCTTTGCTATCAGAACTTCAATTAACACTGTTCTTAGAAATGAACACATCTACAGCTCAATTCTATAACATGAGACGTAAAAGAAAATGTGACCCTATAGTCATACAAAAATTGGGATTTCACTGCATGGCTATTTTTTATTGTGCTTATGTTCATAACACATTACACAGTTTATGTCATTTGTGACTTAGCTGCTTCATTGAGATATACTAGAAAAAGGAAACAGCACATGCTAAGCAACTGATGTTTTGAGGTATTAATACTATTTTTAATAGTTTATTATTTTTATTTTATGTATGTGTGTTATTGCCTGCATATAGGTGTTGTACAATGCCCACAGAAGACAGAAGAGGCTGTCGGATCCCCTAGAACTGGAGTTATGGACAGTTGTTAGCTGCCATGTGGGTGCTGAGATTTGAACCCAGGTCTTCTGCAAGAACAATCAATGTTCTTAACCACTGAGCCACTTCTCTGGCCCTGAGGTATTAATACTTTTAAGTGAAGAGAGAATTCTTACAGTAAACTCCTAAATCATTAATTTCTAGAAACTTTAGAAGTTTGTCTGTCATGTGTAATTTTCTTTCCCTGTAACAAAGACATGGGGCTGGAGAGATGGCTATTCCTGCAGAAGACCCACGTTTGATTCCCAGCACCCACATGGCAGCTAACAACCATCCTTAACTCCAGTTCCAGGGGAACACTCTCTTGTTACCTCTGTGGGCACTGCACGACATGGGTGCACTTACATACATGTAGGCAATACACTCATACACATAAAATAAAAACAATAAAATATTTTTTAAAAGACACTGCCCACCTGTAACTCTATGGAATACTTTTCTATTCGCTTCATCCTGTAACTGCCACTTTCATTCATTCTGCACAGTTAACTATTTTAAATGTACAAGGGAGCCAAGCACAGCAGTGGTGCATACCTTAAATCCCAGCACTTGAGAGGCGGAGGCAGGAGGATCTCTGTGAGACTGAGGTCAGCCTGGTCTATATAGTGAATTTCAGGCCAGCTGGGACTACTGGGGGACCCTATCTCAAAAAAAATAAATAAAAGGTAAATGTACATGGTAGTATGTACATTTTCATACATATACAGGGCTTCATGGACTAGGACTCCTGTCTGATGTATCTCCAGTCATTATGGTAGGTAGATAAATCAACTGCCATTACAACCTCCATCTACTGTGCCTTCTTCTACACAAACTAGAAAGTTACGAACACGTTTCTCAAACTCCCTTTCAGCTAGAATTCGAATGTGATTTAAGTTCTGCTAATCAGGTGTTATTTTCATGACATGTCCAAGCAGGGTGTAAGCAAAGGCCATTCTTCTACAGTTTTTGCAAACATGCACGATTGTAGAGGGTCATGCATGATTGTGACTCAGTTACTCTTATGATCTGAATCTAAAAGCATCCCTCACAGACTGATGTATTTAAGCCCTGGCTCCCAGTTTGGGGTACTGTTTGGGAAAGCTGTGGAACTTCAGGGTGAAAGACACTGCTGGTGGAAACAGGTCACTTGGTGAAGGTCTCTAAGAGTAATGACCTGGCCCACCTTCTACCCTGCCCTTGCTTCCAGCCTGAGCTGCTTCCTATCTGCTGTCACGATTTGACCAGCAAGCTTCTGACTCGATAGACAAAGCCAGATGAAGTCATCGTACCCATGCCTCCCCTGCCACAATGGACTGCATCCTCTGAACCCATATAAACTTCTCCTTTAAAGTGGCTTCTGTATTTGGTTATCATGATGAGAAAAATCAATACAGGTAGAAAGTGGTACCTTTTCCTTCCTCAAAATCCCTGTCGATGCCAACCCTCATTGCTTCATTTTGTGTTAATATGAGTAAAGTGTTTGAAGTCAAACATGTAGGGTGAAAACATTAAAACACTAATATACAACATGGAGACTATAATTATTAGACTGGACTCTTTTTATTCCTAGCAAGGATTACATTTTAACTATTAATGCCAAACAAATAAATAAGCATAATTCTGTAAGATGATTTATATTGTTTGGTTTTACTATAGTAACCACTTTACTACACATATGCCATAATACTGTGTATATTTTAAATATACAAAATAAATTTTAAATTTTAAATATAAACAAAAAGGAATTTCAAAGCTAGAAGGAAAGTTAGAGACGTTTCTTTGTCATTTTCAGCTCGTTCAGAATCAGAACCAAAGGTGTTCGCTTAATGGCCTATTGCCACTTTGTACTAGAGTCAGGATCAGAACACAGACCTTCAGACCGCTACTTCAGATGCTTTACTAATATGAATGCACATGTGAGTATGTGCATGTACATACATATATGTACATACATACATGTACATACATATATGTGTAGGCTCTTAAGCTTGAGTTCCTGGGTTAAAACTGCTTCCATGCTTCACCAAGTATATAAATATGGTAATAATGTCTATCTCTTTCAGGTGTTACAAACATTGAGTGAGAATAAGGTCTGACTCAGTAATATTAATATCTTCTTTATTAGTTAGTAGCTGATCCTTTAACCCAATTTGAATTTCTTAACCTAACGGTATCCAATCAGTGTTCCTTGAATAGCCATGAAGACCTGCTTGGGCTTGCCTTTGTACTAGGAGATTCTGCTGCTTGCAAATAACACCAAAGGAATTAAGTTGCCGAACTGGCACTTCCCAGCTCTCTTGACACTAAATATTATTATTCTAGCTTTTTCTATTCCTAAGCAGAAAAACCCTGAAGGGAATATACACATTTAATGGGACAAGGCAATGAGGGTTTTCCTAATAAGTAGGGAGTAACTCTTCCCTTTATGATAAATAATCATTGTGAACAGTGAGTACTATGTGAATAAATTTAGACTGCCATGTTTCCATGGTAATAATCATGCAGTGAGTGAATCATTTGCTCCTTGATACAGTGCATCTTTGTTTTAGAAGAATCATATTCCCTTTGCAACTAGATACCCAAACTAGTATTAAAACAAAATACAGTAGGGAGTTTAAACAACTATTTATGGTATCTTACTCCAAGGAAGATGCTCTCATTAACTACATAAAAGCTGAGTATGGCAAATCAATTCCAAATGGATCAAAGGTCTCAATGTTAGCCCTGAAACTCAAACTTCTAGGAGAAAGAGTAGGGAGCACTGAAGTGGGTAAACACTCAGGTAAAGACTTTCTGAATAGGACTCTGGTCACCCTTAAAATGGGCCCAACAATCAACAAGTAGGACTTTAAGAAATATGAAAGGTTCTGAACTACAAAGGAAACTGTTACTCAACTGGAGGCAGTCTTTACCAGCTATACATCTGACAGAAGATTTGTGTCTAGAATATATAAAGAACTAAAAAACCCAAATACCAAGAAAGCAATTCAAAAGTAGGCTATGGAATTGAACAGAGACATCTCAAAAGAAGAAATACAAACAGCTAAGAAATATTTTTAAAAGTGTTCACCATCTTTAGCCAACAAATTAAAAATTAAAGCTACTTTGAGGTTTCATCTTACCTCAGTCAAAATGGCTAATCTGTCGCTGATGGGAAAGCTGCACCCATGAAATCTCAACAATATGGTTACCTAAACAAGTCTTGCAAGACAACACCAGTTGACATGCCAATACGGATAGGGGAACTTTCACAAGGTCCCAAATCTAGATGAAAAGCTACAATCAATGGCTCCTGAGGGAACGAGAATCAGTTTTCTCCAGGAACAAGCTCCCTGATAGGTTACCCAAGTCAGCCTTAAACACATGTTCACACAAGCAACACTAAATGGACTCAGTAGGTTGTATATGTGTGTATGTATATGTGTAACAATATAATTAAATAAGAGGCCATGAAATTGAGAATAGGGGGTCATGGGAAGAGTTGGAGGGGGAAGAGGGAGAGGTAGAGATGATGGAAATACAGTATCATGCATGAAATTCTCAAAAACTTAAAAAGGCTCCACAGATATACTAATCCTCAATATCAAAAACAGAATAGATACAGTTCATATGTCTATATAACTTGACACTTTGACAAAACTTTCTTTTTTAACAGTCTCCATAGTGTAAATTTTTAAAAAAAGAAAACAAAAGACAACAAATGCTGACAGGGATCTGGGGAGCCTCATGTACTACTGATAGGAGTGCAAACTAGTATAGCCACTATGGGAATCAGTGTGAAGAAACCTTAAAAAGCTGGCGATAGGTCACATATGGCTCAGCTATACCACTCCTGGGCATATACCCAAAGGACTCTCTTTTCTACTCCAGAGACACATGCTCATCCATGTTTACTGATCCTCTAGTCACAAAATCTAAGACCTACAAACAACCTAGATGTCTATCAACTGATAAATAGATAATGAAAATGTGGTACCTACACACAATGAAATTTTATTCATCTGTTAAGAAAAATGAAATAAAAAATTTTCACGTAAATGGATAGAACTGGAAAACACTATACTGAGTGAGGTAACCACACTTTGAAAGACAAATGTCACATGTTCTCACTCCTATGTGTATCCTAGCATTGACTATTTAGATTGGTGTGTTTAACGTGGAGTACCTGTAGAATCCAGGAAACTAGAAAGGGAGCATTGGTGGTGAGGGAGAAGAAAGATATCAAGGGAGAAGAGGGTAGTAGAACACAGATATGAAGGGGAGATGGAATAATAGGGAGAGAGATTTACGTGGGGAGAGGGACGGAAGGGTAGGACAGAAGGGGGGTGAAGAGAGATAACTAACACTAAGGATGTTTGAAAAAGCCATGCAGAAACCTACTACTTTATGCTTTATATATAGTAATATATAAATATGTTAATTGTATTTAATATATTAAATATATTTAATTTATAA